GCACAACATCCCATTGAGCAACACGGAGAAAGTACACATGAACTGGTGGTTGTATGCAAAGAACTAGTATAACGCAGTGATTAGAATTTTAGACTTTAACCATGGTTTAAAAATACTTGCTCTATGATCCTGAGCAAGTCACTGTCACCTAGCACTACCAAACTCCTTGGGGGTGATATGAGACAAAAAATATTTGCATGCCCTATCAACTGCACAGACGGTTGGGATCCAAATAAAATTAAATGAAGCAAAGCCACCAACTAAGGTCTGGGTGTGCCCTTGTTATTATTAATGGTCTTAGCTGCCCAGGAAGTAAAAGTCAAACCCTGACCCGGCAGTTCTTGAGAGGTTTGGGGGGTTTTTGTCACAGAAACTGCCATACTTCATCCCAAAAATTATTTTGCCTTTCTCAGCAGCACATGCCACAGTGTATTGTTGCTCACTCTCCAGTCTTTCTTAACATTGTCTTCAAGGTCTATACTGCTCATTAGCTGTCCTTTCTGTGTTAGAGAAATCTTAACAGTTCAGGCTGGTGTTGCTAAGGTCTGGGAACTAAGTTTTGGAAACATTCACTGTAATGGTTCTAGGGGTTGCTTGTGCGTAAGCCGGTGCAAACACCTGGCTGGGTTGCCTGAGTGAACCTTTTCTGTCTGGACAGCCACTCACCCGTGGCTGTCTCAATCGCTGGCAGAATCCAGCAAAGAAGCTCTTTGACGCCTAGTCTCCTCCTACTCTCTCTGCGCGAAAGCCTTCTGCGCAAGGAGGGCGTAGGCAGTAGAGGACCCCTACTCTCCCCGCTGGTCCCCGGCAAGGAGTCATGGGACCGCCTCGCCGCTTCCCCCATCTGCCCCCCTTCTCCACTGGTGCTACGCTGATTCTCTTCCCCAGAAGATGGGCTGCTTCTCCCAATCCCTGGACGCTCTCTGGAATCCCTCTGGATTTTGCTCTCTCCCTCCGGCACTGATGGCAGTTCCCTGACATCCACCTCCTCCTCAGGACCCCACCCCCACCCCTGGCGCGATCTTCCGATACAACCTCCTCTCTCTCCTCAGTCGACGATGCGGGGAATCCCCTGAAGGAACTGTCATCATCTTCTGAGGATTCAAAACCAGCCTCCCATCTGCTCGGATCTCTTCCCGCTGGTTGAACCTCCCAGTCTGATCCTTCTCCCTCGGACACCTCCCCTCCCTCCTCTTCGGAGACAGGAAAACCCACAAAGTCCCCTTCGTCGTCTGTGGGTCCAAATTCTTCCTCCCAGAATCTGGCTAATGGTTTGGGCTTATCCGGGAACAAACCGTGGAATTCTTCCACCAGATACCCATCAGTGATTGATTCAGCAGGGACCCAAGTGTTTTCAGACCTAGGTTCCCCCTCCCAAGCTACCAAGTACTCTACCTGGTGACCTCGCCACCTTGAATCGAGTATTTCCGTGGCTTCGTTACACTGTTCCCTCTCCTCTACCCGCGGGTGGATGGTAACCCCTCCCTCCCGTCCCGGGAATTCCCGCCCCTCCCTGTAAGGTGAAAGTAGGGACCTATGGAACACCGGATGTATCTTCATGCTGTCAGGCAACTGGAGTTTAAATGCCACTGGGTTAACCTGCTGTATTACCTCAAAAGGCCCCAGCCGCCTAGGCTGCAACTTCTTGCACCCTCCCTTTAGGGGCAACCCTTGGGATGACAACCACACCCAGTCTCCCACCCGTATGGCCTCCCCCTCCCGACGGTGCCTGTCCGCCTGCCTCTTGTAAACTTCCTTGGCCCGCTCCAAGTTCAGCCTGAGTTGCTGGTGTAAGGCCTCCATTTCCTCCACAAATTGCTCAGCCGCAGGTACACTCCATCCTTCCTCCCGCCGCCCCGGGAAGGCCCTGGGGTGACACCCGTAATTGGCCATGAAAGGGCTCATTCCCGTGGACACGTGTTCAGCGTTATTGTACGCAAATTCAGCCAAAGCTAATTTCTCTACCCAATCGTTCTGTCTCTCGCTGACATAGTAGCGTAGGTACTGCTGGAGTATACCGTTCGCTCTTTCAGCTTGTCCGTTGGTTTCTGGGTGCCTCGCCGTCGAGAAGCTCACCTCGACCTGTAGCAAGCTCATGAGTCTCCACCAGAACCGGGAAGTAAATTGTTTCCCGCGATCCGAGATTACCCTCAAAGGAGCCCCATGCAGTCTAAAAATGTGATCCACAAACAGCCTGGCTGTCTCCTCTGCCGTTGCTGCATGCGAGCAAGCTACGAAATGGCACATTTTAGTCAGTAGATCGACCACTACCATGACCGCTGTCTTTCCCCTTGACTTGGGCAGATCTGTCATAAAATCAATGGACACCACCTCCCAGGGCCTTTCCGGTGTAGGTAAGGGTTCCAGTAGCCCCGCGGGGGCAGCCCTTTCCCCCTTTGCCCTCTGGCATCGGTCGCACCCTCGTACATATTCTCATACGTCTTCCCTCACCTTTGATCACCAGAACTGCCTGGTGACAAGTAGCATGGTCTTGTGCTGTCCAAAGTGCCTAGCTGTTGGGTTGTCATGGAGTTGTCTAAGTACCTTCCCCCTCAAAGTCTCCCCTGGTACATACAGCGCCCCCTTATAGTACAGTAGCCCTTCCTTTTCCTCAAACCCTCCATTGTCTTCCTTTCCGTCCCTGAGCTCCCTGATTTTTGTCTGAGCAAACTCATCGTCCCTGGTGAGCCCTGCCAGTTCTCGTTTCCCAACCAACGCTCCCCCACACACCCACTGGTCCTCGGGGAACACGTGCCTGGTCTCTGGTGGCCCCTCTCCTTCCATGTACTCCGGTTTCTGGGAGAGAGCATCTGCCCTTACGTTTTCCTCTCCCAGCACGTATCGTATCTCGAAGAAAAACTTGGCGAACTCCTGGAACCATCTGATCTGTCTCTGGTTAAGCACTCGCATGGTCCGCCAGTATTCCAAGTTCTTGTGGTCAGTTCGGACCTGGATCTTGTGCCGCGCCCCTATCAATAGATGTCTCCATTGCCGAAATGCCGCATAGATCGCAAGCAGTTCTCGGTCATACACCGTGTAGTTTTGCTCCGACTTGCTCAGCTTCCTAGAGAAAAAGGCACACGGCATCCAGTTCTCCTTGGACCCGGGCTGCAAAAGTACCGCTCAAATCGCACGGTCGGACGTGTCCGTCTCCAGTCTCATGGGCTTCTCCAGATCCACGTGCAGGAGCTGCTCTTCCGAGGCGAACGCCTTCTTCAGTTTTTCAAAGGATTGCTGCGCATCCTCTGTCCACACAAACTTCTTCTTGCTACTAAGACAATCCGTTATGGGCGCTGTCAAGTGAGCAAAGTTCTTTATGAACTTCCTGTAGAAGTTGCTGAAGCCTAGGAACCTCTGCACATCCTTTCTGTTTTTGGGGGCTTTCCATTCCAGCACTGCCTTCACCTTGCCCGGATCCATGGCTAGTCCTTTGTCTGACAACCTGTACCCCAGGAACTCGACCTCCCTGGCATGGAATTGGCATTTTTCCAGCTTGACCCACAACTGATGCTTCTTCAATCTCTGTAGCACCTCCCTGACGTCTCTGACGTGTTGCGTTTCATTGTCCGAATAGATTAAGACGTCATCCAAAAAGGCTACGCAATTCTTGTACAGCAGGGGCCCCAACACATGGTGCATGAAGGCTTGAAAGCAGGTGGACCCCGATTGTAATCCAAATGGCATGACTAAGTACTCAAAAGCCCCCAGGGGGGTGAACATGGTCGTTTTCCATTTGTCCCCCTCCCTTATCCTAATCAGATTGTTTGCTCCCCTGAGGTCCAGCTTGGTAAAAATCTTCCCCTGCCTCACACGTGTCAAAATATCGTCAATCCTGGGCATTGGGAAAGTCACGGGTTCTGACACCAGGTTTATGGCCCTATAATCCACAACTAATCTGGGCTGATTAGTCTCTTTTTTGTCCACAAAGAACACTGGACTGCCCCCCACCGCCTTTGATTCCCTTATGAAACCTCTCTTCAGGTTCTTGTCAATAAACTGCCACAACTCCTGCATCTCCCGGTCGGACATGGCATACAGCTTACCCACCGGTAACTGAGCCCCTGGAAGCAGGTTGATTTGGCAGTCAAATGGCCTGTGGGGGGGCAGTCTGTCTGCCTCCCTCTCGCTGAAGACCTCCTTCAAATCAGCATATTGTGATGGCACCTCCCTTTTTTGCTCCAGGGCCGCCCTAGCCACCCTGGCCACAGTCATTCTTGGTTCCTTCCCTCCCAGACAGTGTTCTAAGCAGTAAGCTGACCCAAAGGTGAGCGACCGCTGATGCCATGACACCACTGGGTCATGTATTGCCAGCCAGCTCATTCCCAGTATTATTCGGGGTCCTGCCAGTGTGGCCATGTGAAAGGCAATGGTTTCCGTGTGCCTGGAGACACTCATTCGCATTGGCGGTGTCTGGTGTGCTACTTCCCCTCCCAGGAGTTCCCTGCCATCGATGGTGGTCACCTGCAAGGGAAAATCTAGTTGCAACAAGTGGAGCTGGTGCTCCAGAGCGAAGTCTCTGCTGAAGAAATTACACGAGCTGCCAGAATCTAGCAGCCCCTCCACTTTGACGGGGTGCCCATTTGGGAGTTCTAGCACCACCTCTATGGCTATAGCTGCCTTGGGAGGGTCAGGCTGGGGCACTTCTATTGGTTGCTGGCCTGGCTGCTGCCCCTGCTGGTTGGCAGCCAGGCTTTGTCGTTTCCCTGCACTGGCCCTTCCTCCCCCTTCTCGTCGTGGCCTGCAGCCCCCATCATGCCTTGCCAGGCTTTTCGTTGAGGGCAGACCTTTGCAAAATGTCCCAGTCGCTGACAGAGGAAACACTTCTTGGTAGTTTTCCACTCCTTCTCCTCCCTTTTCCGGCCTTCACCAGCGTTTGAAACTTCGCGCGCGCTCCATCAATTTCCATCAGCTCAGCCGCCTGGGAAGGCTCCCTCGGCATCTCCGGAATGCGGTTGCCATGGAAACGTTCTGCCCTTATCTCCCGCTTCTCCTGAGCCCGCGCTTCCTGGCGTACACCGATCGCAAGCACAGTCTTTGTGAGTTCATCCATCGACCGCGGGCGGGGCGCTCGGGACAACTCGTCTTTCACTTCGGGGTCCAAACCCGCTTCAAACAACATTTGTACTGGTTCAGAGTCCAGATCCCACCCGAGTTTGTGGACTAACATCGCAAAACGCGACCAGTAGTTTCTGACGGACAGGCTCCCCTGCTTGCACCCCATCAGCTCCCTCCGTGTCACACTTTGCTCCACCTCGCTGGAGAACATCGCGTCCATTGCCTGGTAGAATTTCTTAAGATCTTTCAATGCATCATTCTGCGTCGCCATTAGGGGCCTGATCCATTCGCGCGCCCCATCCTGCAGATGTCCAACAATGTAAGCCACCCTCTCCCCGTCATCCGCAAAGTCATTTTTCTGCAATTCCAAAGCGTGTTGAATTTCCGTTCGGAAGGCATTGTAGTCTTGGGGCTTTCCACCAAACTTGTGTACCAGCCCCGGGACCTTCCTCCCTATCAGGGTGGCTCTGACCTGTGCATCCTGAGCCCGTCTCTCCTCCAGCCGCGCAGACAGGGTAGCGACATGCGCCTCCAGGTCTCGGTTCCTCTCGACCAGACCTCGCACCATGGCTTCTTGCTCTGTCTCTCCGGTCGGCCCTGTTTGGCTCATCGTGCTGCCTCTCCGGGGCTGCGCACAAGCAACGTCAGGGACTGACGGATTGCTGTAATGATTCTAGGGGTTGCTCATGTGTAAGCCGGTGCAAACACCTGGCTGGGTTGCCTGAGTGAACCTTTTCTGTCCGGACAGCCACTCACCCGTGGCTGTCTCAATCGCTGGCAGAATCCGTCAGTGGGTTTTCTTAAACTTCATCCAGCAAAGAAGCTCTTTGACACCTAGTCTCCTCCTACTCTCTCTGCGCGAAAGCCTTCTGCACAAGGAGGGCGTAGGCAGCGGAGGACCCCTACTCTCCCCGCTGGTCCCCGGCAAGGAGTCATGGGACCGCCTCGCCGCTTCCCCCATCTGCCCCCCTTCTCCACTGGTGCTACGCTGATTCTCTTCCCCAGAAGATGGGCTGCCTCTCCCAATCCCTGGACGCTCTCTAGAATCCCTCTGGATTTTGCTCTCTCCCTCCGGCACTGATGGCAGTTCCCTGACATTCACCAACAGGCATTCACGAGCTGATAAACCAAAAGCTTTTTTTCTTAATTGAATACTAATTTTAGACTCTGGCAAAAGTTCATTTTCCTATCCATCTGTCTTGAAATGTTTTCCATTAATTAATTATCACTTGCTGTGGTTTCCTCATGAGCTGTCTCACGGTGTGATGTCATCACCTGATCCAGTAGTGTTTGTGTTTATCCTGCTTGCCTTGCCAGTATGTGTATATATATATGGGGTAATCTTCCAGCATGAGGAAAAAATATCATGGCAGTGATCAACGTTGAATCAACAATAAAACTACATTCATAAAGCAAGCACAGAATTCATTACAAATCGATAGATTAGCTTCATACATCAGCATAGATAGACCTACCTCAGGGAAAGCCTAGGTGAACAGGTGAAATAGGGTGCCTAAATGCTAATACTGCCTGACGTTCATAGGGAACGCATTCATTGGGAGTGTGCTTGTTAATGCCCTGTTGTTATTTACCAGTTGAAGGCCAGTGAAATGTCATGGCTAGATGCTGGTAGAAGAGGACTTCCCTTACCACTGCCATTTCCCTGTTCAGCATTCACACTCCGGAACTGAAATGTGATTTACATTTGTGCTCCCAGAGTTTAGTTTATCCAACCTAGGACCTGACTTCTTTCCCTCCCCAAGCTGGCCATCTGCACTCTGTCGACGCAAAACTTTTAACTGGCTAAATAAATAGATGATTAAGGAACCCTACAACTGTGGACTCAGCTACACTAGTCAAATACATCGTTATAACTGTGTTATAAACATGTGGCACCAGACAGCCCTGTAGAGCAGTAATCAGTCGCCAGTGGGATTTTCCATAAAGAGCTCTTACAACCTTTCTTTCTGTAGCGTTTCTTTTATCTGTACAGATCCAGCCTCTGTTGGTGAGAACCACAACTACAAATTTCGCTTCATAACAGAAGAACTCTGAATTGTTTCTTTTGTGCTTTAGATTTATCTGAACTTGACAGATATGATGCAGCTACCCTGGACTTCTGCACTGTCTAGTATTGTCCTGGTGGAGATCCCACTGAGCCCTGGCACCTTGGGATAGAAGACGGTACACTGATAACAAATACAGTGATTCCTCTCCATCCATCCCAGGGAGATGGTGCCTCAGCTTCAAAAACTCAAAGACAGTCACTGCCCTTTCTCTGGCCTTGGTGCTTTGTTCCTTGGTGCTTGGAAAGGGCCCCCTTTGCTCCTTCTGCAGCGGATGGCATCCTAGTAGCAGACTGACTCATTCATAGGCCAGAAGGGATTTGTGGCACAGGCAACATCCTTCTTGTTCTTTGGCTGTCCTTTCTCTGTCAATGTCATTGATGCCTGGAACTGAATACCTTTGGTGGTGGACTCTTAAGACAGAGACTACACTCATGCAGTCGTGGCCATATTTCTTTGTTATTTTTATTAACCCCCCCCCCTTTTTTTTGGCCTGAGCCTTTGGTGTAAGGATGAGACCTAAGTCCCAATAATTTTTGTGCCACTGTGTATCCTGGTCTGGTTGCCAAAACCATTTCGTGTAAAAGCAGGACATCTTTTTGGGGAGGGAAAAAACCCCCTGAGAGGAGGACATTGAAGAATAGTTCACTTACCACATTGTATTCTTATGGGCTATGTGTGAGTGTGTTTGTCTTTAAAGAAGGCTCTGGGAATAGAAGGCTTCTGCTGGCTTTAAAAAATGTTTCCCAGCCAAAGCAATGATCTGCCAGACAGTTCTCCTACACAAAGGAGAAACGGAATTGCAACATTTATTATTAACTTTGCTGCCTGATGCTTCAGGGCTGGAATGTAAAGCGTTGCAGAGAGCCTCAAAAAACAAAACAAACGAAAAAGGATTCCACTCTGGTCAGGCTGTTAGCAGCTTAGTCCCCTTACTCGTAGCAAGATTGCTCCCCTGGTGCTAATGTAAGTGAGTAGAGTTCTTCTGAGCATGTATGCAGCATGCTGGTATGTTTCCAAGACTGAACTTTGGAAGTGGAGATGCACTGGCTAATTAAGCGATTTGGTTAGGAAGGTGGCTGCTGTATGCGGGCAGTTTCACTTACCAAGATACTGACTGCCGGGCACTTCTGCACAACCTCATTGCACTGAATGGGATCCTCATTCACTTCTGTGGGTCATAGTTATGCCAGAGATGTTTCCATGAGCTGTGGCCTAGTCTACTGCTTGTGTGGGTTAACTGGATGTTTCAAATGTGTGCCTGGATTCATGTGTGCAGCCAGCATTCATGTATTTACATGCACGCACTGCTGAAAGGTTTAGGATCTTTTGCTGGAGTTACAACATGTGTTTGTTACATAAATACTGTACATGAGTTCCGGCTGCATACATGTGAGAGCAAGTATACACTTGTAACATGGATATTGCTGGCCCTTTAAGGACAACTTCACATCAATGTTGTTTGTGTATATGTATTTTTAGAACTGATGTGTAAGTGTTGCTAAGTATTTTAAAATGTTTTCATGTGGCACTGGCCTACTTGGTTCAGATATGCGTTTTATTGTTGCTTGCCCTAGGATCGATAGGATGAAAGGTTCATTTATAACTGTAAGTGAGGAAATAAATCAATAAGGTATATACACACAGGATAAACTTGTGTGTCTATTTTGCCATTTATACCCCTTTTTTAACACAGAGAAGAAAGCTGTGTAAGAAAACAGTGAAGTATGAAGCTGTAGGCAGCAGTTTTTGGTATATCAAGGGTGGGGTTGCCTTGTACTAGAATCTGCAATTTGGCTGACCAGCTCTACAGTATCCCACAATTCTTAGTAGCCTTGTAGGATGAACCACTGCAGAGGCCTCTGGGTATCATAATTTAGAAGCTTTGGCAAAGGCTGTGGCCTATCCAGTGTAAATCTATCTGTCCCCAAAGCATGACCCACAGGGCCAACTGGGAGGGCCTGATCTAAGTCAGTTCTCACAGAGGACCTGAACATTCTTGAACATAAATGATTACTTTAGGATTACTTGGGGCCTGGCATGGAGAGTATGGTTCCAATAATTCTTCCAAACATGCACAGATGGATTAAGGGCTTTTGCAGAGTCTGAAGTCTGCACAGATTAAGTTGTATACACGTGTGAGGAAAGGCTGATCTACACTGTTCAGATTGCTGCCATTACAAAGCCTTCAAGGCACTGGAGTGTCCTGACAATGTTATTGGTATGCACTAGTACTTAGGGCTGAGAAATATGTACCTATAAGCGCAAGGGGGTGGTTTCTATCTAAAACTATTCAGATTTCACCTAGAAGTCCAGATAAATAATCCAACATGTCTCAACTCATTCTGAATGGAAAAGAAGTTTGCTCACTCCTAGTTTGCCATTTGATCACATTTATGCAAATAGCTGGTGAGTACACCTTGGCTGGAGAACCAGGAGACTTGAGGTCAAACTGGATGAGATGTTAATCACACAGTGATTGTGTGATTAGCTTTTGAATAAATTACAGGTGCAGGAACAGGAGCTAATTTGGATTGGGACCCTGGCAGGGGAGGTTTAACCCTTGAAGCACACCCCTGCCTCATTGTCCCATTATGGATGAGGCCATTCGTGTCTTCAGTTTACTTTTTAAAAAGTAATTGTTAATTGCATGGTATTGATGTCTCATCTGGCTTGGGCCTCAGGTATTTAAGGTTCTTTTAGTGGGAATTCTGCTGTTAGGATTCAGAAGATACGAGCATAGGAAGTTGCTCTGTATGGAGTCGGGCAGTTGATCATCTAGCTCAGCAATATTTACACTGACTGTCCAAGGCTGTTCAAGGCTTCAGACTGGATACATTATCCGTTCTACCTGGGGGTGCCTGAGACTGAACCTGTGTGCAAAGCAGAAGATCTACCACTGAGCTACAATGATGAAGATGTTGATGATGATGATGATGAATAATAATAATAATAATAACAATAATAATAATAATAATAATAATATCCCTCCCATCTGACTGTGTTGCCCCAGCCACACTGACCGACTTCCAACATAATAAAAACACTTCCAAGGAAATACAATAAATGAACAGAAAGAGAATAAAAATCCCACATATATACCAAGTGTTACCACACCACCCGAGCTTCCCCCTTCTTCTTCTTCCCCAATTTCATTCTGTATACAACATTAACGACTCACTTCAAATGTAAAAAAAGATTCTATAACCTGAAAAAAGACAAGGCACGTACTTTTGTAAATCCAAAGTTTAATAAAAATTGTTTGTTTGGAAAAAAAACAGCAAAACATCAAACATAAAAAACTTCCTGATACAAGACTGCTTTCAAAGGTCTTTGGAAAGTTGTGTAGTTGTTTATCTGTTTGACATCTGATGGGAAGGTGTTTCACAGGGCAGGTGCCACTACCAAAAATGCCCTTCCCTAGGATAAATATATTTCTGAATGCAACTAGGTTGTGGGGTGTAAATAAATGTAGTGGATTGTAAGCCTGTGGGCAAGAACTGTTGTGAATTATTATAAAGCTTGTAAAGTGCTCAGCACTAGTTAAAGGGTCTGGAAATAACAAATGGTGGCGGCGGTGGAAGGCATGGCTAGAACAAGGAGCTTGTTGAGAGCAGTTCCTTTTTTCATTTTGCTTTTGCTTTGTACACTTCTATGGTGCTGCATTCATTTGTGCCTCAGAACCAGCCTGTCCCAACAAAAGCAGATGCAAACTCAGCATACGTTTCTCCTCCATACTCCCTTGCCACCTTTCCTACGTTTACTTGTCAAAAGCAGTTGTTGTGTGCGCCATCCCCATCTGTAGCCCTGCAGGTGCTATTTAGCTTAGCAATACGAATCTTTGTCTTTTATATGCCTCCTGCATCCTGTGCACCAAGAGCCAGAGAGGCGCCACAGACTGTCCTGGATTGCTCCAGACAGTGGAAAGTCTTGGAAAGTGGGCCAAAGCAGTGGCCTTGTTGCGGGGAGGGGAGGGAAAACAGGAGAGGAAGTGAGGGTCACAGCAGGGAAGATGGGAAGCTCACTCTTGCATTTGTGCACCTACTAAGTATGTATGTCATTGCAGGCAAAGGTTGAAAAATGGTCTCCTGGATAAATGCAGCATGTCACCTTGGTGCCTCTTTCTTTACAGGTCTAGTGAGTCCCCTGGAAGTGTTCATGAACACAAGGAGTGTTGAAGTTGCTCGGGGCCAGACGGCGGTCCTGCCCTGTACTTTTACCACCAGTGCTGCGCTTAATAACCTTAACGTCATTTGGATGGTCACGCCACTCTCCAATGCCAACCAACCTGAACAGGTACCAAACTCTTGGTGGAAACACAGAACTAGTTGGCCAAACCCACCTCCCCAACAATAGGCTCATAGGATGGCTTATAAATCAATGCAAATAACAGAAGACTTGCCCTTCAGTTTACAATCTAGGGCTGCGTCGGTTGTGCTGGTTCCCCCCAATTACGTTCTGAAAATGTGGGAAGCAGCCAGACTATAGCCACAAATGACCTTTTTTGGCTGTAACGTGTGAATGGACAGGCATGAATCTTACAAGTGTGTCTGATGAAGCTCTGGGGAGTTTCTGTAGCATATGTTTCTGAGACCCACACACTGACTGTTGGTGTTTCGGATATCTTCTCTGTGTTCAGCCACATCCAGCATGGCCAATGGTCAGAGGTAATGGGAGTTGGAGTCCAGGAAATTCTGGAAACTACAGCATTGGCTACCCATACCCTAGGGTGTAGGAGTGCAGCAGACAGAGGAACTTCCGTATGAGGAACTTCTGATTTGAGCCTTGTGGTTCCAAACAGGCCACTGGGTGTTGCTAAGAAGTAAGAGCATGAGCAGTGACTTATAACTCACTTGATGATAATCACATATAGTACAGGAATGATTGGTGAAAGGGCCTAAATCTGGAGAAAGGCATGCAGAGGGTTGGTGGTGGAATAATTTAGTTACTGCATTTTTTTTTTATGCATTTATTTGCTTTTCATTCTATTTCATGTTTATTCATTTTCCTTATTCCTATTTGCTTTTGATGGGACGCCCAGCTAATTTTCTACATCCTTTAACTTTGATACTTTCCAATAACAGCCTACAGTCTACTGGTAGGAAATAAAATGAAATTCAAATGAAAATCTAGTTTTTTCTCATTTCTTTACATTGAATTCTGCTGGAACAGCCTATACAGGTCATATAGAAAGGTTTCTGGGGGAGGGGGAGGAGCGAGGGAACAGTTAGGCTATGCCTATGCATCTTTTTTTATTACATCAGACTTGTCAGATTTCAGATAGGTGGGACAACGGGTCCCTATTTTATAGACAATTTGTTTCATTTTGATTCATTTTTTAAAATGAATGCAAACTCAGGCTTATGCTCGTTATTGGAATACATTGTCATAGTGAATCATCATCATCATTATTATTGAATTTATATACCGCCCTATACCCAGAGGTCTCAGGACGCTTCACAGAATAAAATCAAAATATAAAACTACAAAATACATAATCAAAATAGCAACAACAACAAAATAAGCCCCCCCAAAAAACCCCTCACATTTTAAAAAGGCATAGGATGTCAATCAAATCAACCAAAGATGGTGCCTAAAGGTGTATAATGAAGGCGCCAAACTTCCCTGGGGAGAGCATTCCGCAGAGGGAGAGCCACTGCAGTGAAGACCCGTTCTCGTGTTGCCACCCCCCAGACCTCTCGAGGAGGAGGCACACGAAGAAGGGCCTCAGAAGATGATCTCAAAGTCCGGGTAGGTTCATATGGAAAGAGGCAGTCCTTGAAGTATTGTGGTCCTGAGCTGTTTAAGGCTTTATAGGTCAAAACTAGCACTTGGATTTGGGCCAGGAACCTAATTGGTAGCCAGTGCAGTCGGACCAGGATCAGTATAATATACTCAAACCGTCTTGCTCCAGTGAGCAACATGGCTGCTGAATTCTGCACTAGCTGAGGTTTCCAAACTGTCTTCAGAGGCAGCCCTATGCATAACACATTGCAGTAATCTAACCTTGAGGTTACCAGAGTATAGACAACAGTAGTTAGGCTATCCCTGTCCAGATAGGGACGTAGCTGGGCCACCAGCCAAAGCTGGTGGAATGCTCTCTGGGCCACTGAGGCCACCTGAGCCTCAAGTATCCTGGAGTGCCCCCAAGCTACAAATCTGCTCCTTCAGAGGAAGTGTAACCCTATTAAGAGCAGGCGTTTTCCCACCCATCTGGTCCAGATAACCACCCACTAGCAGTGCCTCAGTCTTACCTGGATTGAGTTTCAGTTTGTTGGCTCTCATCCAGTGTATTACTGAGGCAAGACGCTGGTCCAGCACTTCCACTGCCTCAGCTGCGGATGTAAAGGAGAAATAGAGCTGAGTGTCATCAGCATACTGCTGACACCATACTCCAAACCTCCAGATAACCCCACCCAGCGGTTTCCTGTAGATGTTGAACAACGTGGGGGATAGGATTGAGCCCTGCGGAACCCCACATTGAAGGTTCCACAGGCCTGAAAAGCATTCCCCAAGCAACACCCTCAAGGAATGACCATCCAAGTAGGACTGGAACCACCCCAAAGTGGTGCCACCCACCCCTAGTTTGGCAGCTGCTTCAGAAGGATACAATGGTTGATGATATCGAAAGCTGCTGAGAGGTCAAGAAGAATTAACGGGGAGACATTTCCCTTCTCTCTCTTTCAACAGAGGTCATACAGGGCGACCAAAGCAATCAATACGTATACATTTGAATTGAAATACACACACACACACACACACACACACACACACACACATACACGTTGGTAAATACTGCTGCTTTTTCTTGTGTTGATTTACCAAAACGTAAAATAACACATGCAAAACAGTAAAACAGCACACAAAAATGAATCTTGATGCAAATGCATAAAAGCCGCTTTATTTTCCCCTAATGCATTCTGCACATTGTTTTTATGTGTGGGTGGGTGAATGTGAAAGAACAGACCATGTTCAATACTCAGTACAAAATTTGCAAATATAAAATAGTAACAGGGAAGGGTTCCTAATGCATCGGTTCCACTCTGGAAATGAGACCATGTATTCCAGAACTCCAAAATGCAGAGGAGGGAGATATGCAAACTCCCTCCCTGCTTATAAGCCTTTTTTGTGTCCTCCTTCTAAATAGAAAGACATATAAAATTGACTAGGCTTGACTCTTCCCTTTAGGGGAACATTTCATTGTAGTTTCCCCTATATCTTTTAAATCTATTGTGCAAATACTTCTCCATGGTAGCAAAAGTAGAAGCAGTGCGTAGTAAGTACCCAAGAGCTCCATATGGCTTATCTTACCCTCAGAACACAATTGTTGTATTTTAATTGCACTAAAACCACAGGACACTGAAGCCTCTGTATAATGAGTGAACAAGTCCTCTTTTAACCATTGCTTTGTTAAGGAGAAGTGTCATATCTTTGTTTTTCAGGTTATTATTTACCAGGGGGGTCAGATTTTTGATGGTGCACCCCAGTTTTATGGGCGAGTGGGGTTTGCAATGACGATGCCAACCACCAGTGCCTCCATCTTCATCAACAACACCCAGCTGTCAGACACTGGGACTTACCAGTGTTTGGTCAACAATCTACCAGACCGAGGTGGCCGGAATATTGGAGTCATTGGGCTCAACGTCTTGGGTATGTGCTTTGCTCTAGTCCAGACCACTGATAACCATGAAAAGCCTGAAACAGGAGGCTGGTTTTCCTCGAAATTTGAAGTAGCTAGTCTGCCACATAATGGCACAGGTGGGACAAAATGTTGGGCTCTGTGAGTTCAAAACTACTTTCAGATGGTGGAATATTAGACCTTCAGGGGTGTAAGCCTAAAAATGAAACAAGGGAGCTTGCCCTCTCGTTCACATACTGTAACAAGTATCAGAAAGCGCTGGATGTATTCTTGCAGAGGAGAATTTCACCTCAAGTGGCTTTTCCCATTGTAGTACATGGTGACAGGAGAAGGTGCACCTGGCAAACGTTTCTATTTTGGGTCTTTGTGACCTTTAGGGAAAGAAGCCTAATTAGCATGGGGACAAAGCAAACCATGGCTCTCTAGATCTAAGCTTCTGCTCCTGCCATCACTTAACAGGGGTCTACTGTGAGTGACATGCTCAAAGATCCAAACCAGAGGGTGGAGGCAGGAGCACTGTCCAAAACAAGTGAGGTTGAATTCCAGGGAAGGCAGATCAGGGTCTGTGGTGTTAAGAGGCAGGCCATAAATAAAGTTAGACAGGGGCCGTGGTTCAAGACAGCAATGAGGAGAAAGAGGAGAAGGAGTTGGTCAGAGACCTCACATTTCAGACAAGTGGCACAGACTGAGAAGTGGGCTCCGAGCGTAAGATTTTAAAGGGCCTGGTGTGCTCAGATGGGTCCTTGGGTCTGCTGACTGGTGATTCATACTACATGGAACTCTTGGAGGCCAATTTACCAGGCTGTAAACCCAATGAAGTAGAGTAGGGCCTTTCAGTCCATGGGCTGGATTGATATCTGGCCAACCAGGAAGAGTCAAGTGAGTGGGGCTAAAATGTTCCTGGGGCCTTAGGGATTTTTATTTTATTTATTGTTTTGCCTCAGTCAACTTTTACTTTCCTCACATAAACAGACAATTTAAACCAGTCTCTGGCCCAAGCCACTGTTCCACCCTGTCTGAAATCTGCTACCATTATACCCTTGCCAAAAACATCAAAGATAGACAGTCTGAATGATTTTCGCCCTGTGGCGCTGACACCCATTATAATGAAATTTTTCGAAAAACTGGTGAGGAAGCGCATCTTATCTTGTCTGCCAGTGGGACTTGACCCTTACCAGTTTGCGTACAAGGCAAAGAGATCCACAGAGGATGCTGTGGCAATGGCTTTACATGCTGTCCTGACTCATTTGGAGAAGCAAGGGAACTACGCGAGACTGTTATTTGTAGACTTTAGTTCTGCATTTAATAATATTCTTCCGCATAGATTGGTGCCCAAATTATTAGACCTGGGACTTCCATCATGTTTGTGCAGGTGGATATTAGACTTTCTATCAAACCGTTCCCAAAGGGTCAGGTTGGGTTCCCACGTCTCTGCGGATCTCATCACGAATACGGGGACGCCTCAGGGGTGCGTGTTGAGCCCGCTTTTATACACGCTCTATACAGCTGACTGTGCCCCCAAATACCCCACTAATAAGATCATTAAGTTTGCAGATGATACAACGGTGGTTGGTTTAATTACGGCTGGAGGGGGGAGACAGCCTATAGGAAGGAAGTTAAGCAGTTGGGGGAGTGGTGCAGGAAAAACAACTTACTGCTTAACTTAAAGAAAACAAAAGAGATCATTGTGGACTTTAGGAAATGTAAATTGAATATTCAGCCACTTATTATTGAGGGGAAGTGCGTAGAACAGGTCTCAGTTTTTCGATTTCTGGGAATGGAGTTGAGAGACGACCTAACCTGGGGAGAGAACAGCAAAGACCTGGTGAAGAGAGCACAGCAGAGGTTATATTTTCTGAGAATCCTCCGGAAAAACAATCTCTCAAAGGACCTGTTGATGGCATTCTACCATTGCACTGTAGAGAGCGTACTTACGGTCTGTGCGTGTGGTTTGGGAGCTGCACGGCCAGGGAAAAAACAATGCTATCCAGGGTTGTAAAGACTGCAGAGAGAATTATTGGGTGCACTCTTCCCACCTTAGATCAAATCTATGCTGCCAGGTGCCATAAGAAAGCGGCAAAGATAGCACATGATAGTACGCACCCTGGAAATGATCTCTTTCAGCTTCTGCCTTCTGGAAGAAGGTATAGGGTTATAAAGGCCAGGACTAGCCGCCTGAAAAACGGTTTCTACGCTAATGCAATTCTGGTTCTAAACGCAGCATAAGGGGTTTCTGTAGTATAGTGTGTTTTAAAATGGGGTTTTAGAGTTTTTAGGGGTTTTTGAATGTTTTATGTAGTTTTGTAGTAGTTTTATGTAGTTTTGTAGTAGTTTTATGTAGTTTTGTGGTAGTTTTATGTAGTTTTTATGTAGTTTTATGTAGTTTTCAATTTCATTGTTCCGCAAGGGACAATGACAATAAAGATATTGTGTCGTATCGTATCGTATCGTATCGTATCGTAAATTTATTAGGGTGGGGTACTCCCTTCATTTCCAATTAAAGGGGGAATTCAGTGCCATTGATAGAGGAGAAAGAAAGTAATTTGATTTATGGTGTATACTTCATAAATGTAAAATAATATGAGGTGGTAGATTTTATGTCTTTTTCAGATTATTATTTTTTTAAAAACTTCCTTAAAGGTAAGCTAGCAGCCTTCAGACCACTACCTTGTGTTACTGTATTACTTTAGGTCCCAACCTACAGAAAGGATTTCTCTTCTTAATCCTTTCAAAAACAGCATCCTGGAATCCACCAAACATTCAGATCAGTTCTACTATTTATCGACTTTCTCCCCAGTATTTTGAAGTGTTTATGATATTATTATTATTATTATTATTATTATTATTATTATTACTACTACTACTACTACTACTACTACTACTAAACATCACAGGAGGAGAGGCTCACTGACCATTTCCACAAAATTCCTTAGTGTATGCAGTTGAGCAAAACATGCTCATTCCAGTTTAAGTACTGACAGCTGTTGTAGTACTTGCTGTGTTAAATACAAGTGGGAGAAATGAGGGAATGCATGTCTCTGGTTCACTTTTATCATGTCCCTAATATTTAATTGAAAAAATTACTTGGTGTTTCCAACGTTATCGTATCTTATTTTTCCCAACAGTTGTGTTCTCTTTTTGCAAAAGGAATAACGTGAAACCTCCCATCTTCATTCTGCTACCAGAATTGGCTTAAAGCAAAAAGTTTTAATGATATCTTTATTGTATAAGCTGGTGGGGAGCTGCAGATGTTGTTCTTCCCCGTAGAGGACACTAATCGAAAATGGCCACAATTAAGTCAGCAGTTATGACTGAGCTGGCTCACTAGCTACAAAAGCCTTAGCAGGTGACCTCGCCTGTTGCTTCCCCTATTAGTCTTAAGCCATCTGTATCTTTTGTTTTCTCAGCCTGTCTTTTTGTTCTCTCTCTTTTTTAAAAAATCAAATCAAATCTACCCATACTCCATTTTTCCAATCCTTAAGTTTATTTCTCCACATTTCTCTATCAGTTTGAACTTCCCTCCAAATAAAGTCCCCATGAAAATTAACATTTGTGTCCAAATTCACCCTACCATAAACATTTTTATGCACTTTTGTATAATATACCCATTTTTGCAATTTCCCCTAATACAGTTGATTTTTGTATGTGATTTACCCTAAAATATGCTTGTATATGCACTCTTTGTTTTTGTACACATTACTGGGCTGGGGAACCACATTACAAAATTCATAGAGTTGCAAATTTTGAAGGATATTTTTTTTTGAATTGAATTTCTCTTCCACCCCTCCTCCTCCAGGGCCTAGAGTCCTTACTGGTCACACTTTTCTGTTGAACGCAGCTCCTGACCTAACTGTTGCTTTGCAATCTTTTCTCCCTGCAGTTCCTCCATCTGCCCCAGTCTGCAGAATTCAGGGCTCTTTGAACATTGGCAGTGACATCACGCTGACGTGCAGTTCAGAAGAAGGCATCCCTCGGCCAACCTATTACTGGGAAAGACTGGACAGTGCCCCCAAGCTGCCCCCGACAGCCACACAAGGTGATCATTGCATCCCCCCCCTCCCCCCTGCCCTACAACTGCGTTTTCCAAGAGAGTTGGTCTAATTTTCCCTTTGCTTGTTCTGCTGGCACTAAGGTCACAACTTTATGTGGTCTATCCCAAACTGCTGATGGACTACCTGGGTTTCAGGGCAGGAAACACCAGATCCAAGAAGGTCACAGCGGGGAGGGGAGTGATAATGTTGCTGTGATAAGTGCAGAAACTCACTAAAAATAAGGAATAGGGAGAAAATACTCTGTCCAAAATAACGAAAGCAACTGAGCCTTTAGAGTACTGGGTGCCCTCTAGTGGAAATTCTAATCACAGTATTAAAAAAGCACACATACCTTAGAGCAGGGGTGGTCACCTTTTCTGCCCAACATGCCATAAATCCACTCCAGAGCATGAGGCAGTGCCACTGTAGGGTACACCAGTCTGCACAGCTCCCGTTATTGTTGTGCAGTCTTGTCTCTAGCCTGTTGAGCCTGGGAGTGCAGTGCAGAAGAGGCAGGCCTGAGTGCAGGTCTGATGCTGTGCCATAATAGTTGGCTTGCAGAACTGTGCTGCAGCTCAACCACCCTTACTTTAGAGATGCATGCTTCATGTCTATTAGGGATTTGAATTAGCGAGCCAGCCCAATATTCACCTCTTGCATTCCTGCTGATTGTTCCACTCCAGTCTGTGAGTGAAGGCTAGTTCACAGATGCTTAAAAAAAAAGTGGTTTGCAAAGTGTGTGGAGTGAATATGAGCATGTGGGTGAAGCAGCCATGGGATCATGCACAAACAACCATGTATTGATTGTGCACTTTGGTGGTGTGCTGAAATATTATCTTATATTGAAAAAATCATATAGTAAAGCAATCATTTAATTGGTATATTGTGTTCCCCCAATGCCACCTGCATTACTGTTTGCCAACTCATTATATCCTAGGGTTATATCCTAGGGCTGTGCTGAATGCTCACAGGTAAATACTTTCGTTGCAAAAGGGGCGCATTCATGAGCCTCCAGATATATTTCCTCAAATACCGTATTTTTCGCCCTATAGGATGCACTTTTTTCCCCTCCAAAAATGAAGGGGAAATGTGTGTGTGTCCTATGGGGCGAATGCAGGCTTCACCGACCCCTCTCGCTCTCCAGGCTTCAGGAAGCTCTGCGCAACCCTCGGGAGACCGGCGCAACTTCGAGGACTGCGCAGAGCTGCCTGCAGTCCCGGGCTTCGCACAGCTCTCCGCAAGCCTGGGGAGACCGGGGTGACTTCCCGCCGGGCTCCCTAGGCTTGCGGATAGCAGGCTGTTCTTGGGGCTGGGGTTGGGGGAAGCTCGGGCTTCCCCCGCGCCAGGCCCGCGCCTGGGGGGGAAATAATTTTTTTTTCTTTATTTCCCCCCCCAAAAAACTAGGTGCGTCCTATGGGGCGAAAAATACGGTATTTAGCTGTGCTCATGCCTGTTTTCTGCTGTTCACTGCCTGTGTCAATAGGTCCTGGTGTAGATTTTATTTCTTTTTGGGAATAGTTATCCCAGACAATCAGGCTTCATGTAGCTATGGTGATAATATCAGAAGAACATGGGGTCACAAGATGTTATCACAAAGCCAATTCAAAGTGAGGGCAGTGTGTTTCCTTCCATCACTCAGAGTGAGTAAGAACTTTCATCCTTTTTGTGCAAACACACTCTGAAAAAATGTCAAAAGGAGTGGTGGGGGGGGTAAAAGTGGCCACAATCACACATACACAGCCCCTTTTAGCTGATATGTTTCATACTATTTTGTTACATTGCTTTCATGTTTTTAATTGATTTATGTAATGTTTCACTGATCCAGCTCACACATAACACTAAACTACTAAAGCATGGTGTAATGTTATAAGGGTGAATCACAGTGAGCCTCAGGATTCCACACAACCCTTACCTCTTCTCTTCTAGTATGGTCATAAACTTCCACTTCCATTTCAGATTAGCCACAGCTCAATTGTTTCATCAGAACCCTGAACTGCAGTTAATTTTAAGTATGGTTTACAGAAACAAGCCAACTTCTTAAACTATGATTTGAAGCTGGTTTGTTTCTAGAAACCATATTTAAAATTAACCACAGTTTGTTTGTTTGTTTGTTTGTTTGTTTCATTTAGATAATATGGCAAGCTGTAGCTAATCTAAAGCAGAAGCAAAAGTTTTTGAACTCCTTGTGTTCACATCAGAAGGGAGGGCTGAGTGTGCAAGCCTGAGACTCACCTAGGATCATTGTACTGTACTATGTTCTAGCACTACACCCAAATCAGCCCACTGTTTTACACTTTGTTTGGACCTCAAAATCAGATATGGCTCTTGATTAAGCATCTGAAAATGTTTTTTTCATTCTGGAATGATAAAAAGCTGAGTAGTTGACAACTGCATTTGAGTTCCTTGTAAGAACAAGTGTTAGCTTGTGGATGGCCCTTGCCAGTTATCTTGCCTTATTCTCTTATCCTCAGCTTTCACATACATAAAAAAATAATCTTTAAGAAGAAAATGTCCACTGTAAGCTCCTTAAACCTTAATCTTGTCTGTTTCTGATGCTTTCATCTAAAGGTTATTTTCTAATTTATCTCTTAAGAGTCTTGCATTGAATTTACGATTTACTGGATTTGCCTTTTCAAGGCTGCATTGAAATGGCTGTCTTTCTCTCCACCCCCCACATACCACGTCTCTAATTTAATTTATGTTTTTTCCTTCCTTCCCATCTAGACCAAGTTCAGGGTACAGTCATTCTGCGCAATATTAGCACTGTGTCATCAGGACGTTACCAGTGTGTGGCTTCTAATGTCATCGGAAGCAGCACTTGTTCTCTTGAGGTTCAAGTGATTACACGTAAGTCAGTTTTAATGAGGGACTTGTCTTGCACAAGTCAGCCTCATGTCTCATTGCCTGTCAGAGGTTAAGTCACATGTTGGATGCAAGCAGGGTGTTCTTCTTACAGGAGCAGTATGTTGCCCCTCCCAACTTCCTCCCCATGCATTACACAGACATGGAGAAAGCAAAAGAATGAGTGTCTTACTTCTGTTTTCCCAGTCTCTGTGGTAATGTGAGAAATGAGCAGTCCTCAGTCTTGTTTGTAGTAAGATTTGGAAGCCTCTCCCCAGGCTCACTTGCCGCATCATGAATGAGATCCTTGAACCCCATTTTTTATGTTGAAGCAGGTAGCGGGAAAGCAGAAGCACATCTTCTAGTAATGCATGAAACTTCGCTGCATGTGTGGAAATTTGTAGTCCGGAGTAAGAGATGCTAATCCTGTAAATACCTCATTTTTATTTATTTAACAGATTTATGCACCACTTCATAGCATTAAGCCATCAAAGTCTTGTACAGGATAAAAACAGGATAAAACATAGTAACATTATTTCAGCAAACTCTAAAAACAATAAAACCATCTTTACAAATTCCAAAAACAACAAAAGGATTTCTACAGATATAAAAATGTTCTATAAGTGACTGGGTAACTTATATTAAGAAAGCCTTCTTAAATATAGATGTCTTCAGTAACACCTAAATCTTATGACAAAACTAAGGCGCTTGAGATGCAAATACTGGAAAAGGAAAGGAAATAGAATTTGCTCAGGGCAAAAGAAAATGGGTTGATCCTGCTGCTTGCTTCTTCTTTTTAAAGAGCATGTTTGGGAACGAAACCTACTGCTTTAAGCCAGGTATTTGGACCCATTCTAAAAATAAACAGAGGCCCCCCACCACCACCCACTGTATTGAAAGTGCAGTGTTTTTTCACACTGCACTGGAAGCTCAGAGCCCATCTATCACTGGATATAATTTTCTTCACTTACGAGGGTGACTGCTGATAATTAACCATGTAGAAGATACCCTGCAGATGCCCACTGCATCTGCACATGATGCCTTTTGCAACTAATGGCAACTCCAGGTGGGTGTGGGTGTGCATTGGATGGGGCTGCAGCACAATGGGTAGACTCCCTCCCCTACACAATGGCCCCAGCCCAAATGGATGGAAAAGCCCCACAGCTGCCTTCAGCAAAAGAAAACTAAACCCAATCACAGCTCTCCTTTGTAAGAGCTAGTTTGGTTCTCAGAGCTGTGGCCTCTGATATGGCTAAGGGGTCGTTCTTTTTTTTTTTTTTTACCCATCACCCTATCACCAACCTTCAGGCATGTGAAAAGTGCCCCGGCATGCTAGGCCTTCTTGGTCGTGTTTGGGAGCGAACAGAGCCATTTCATGCCACCAAAACTAGAGCAGGAGGCACTCAGGAAGGTACATGCCCAGAGGCATCCAGTGGGGCAAGAATTTGGGACAATATCTGCCCACTACCACCACCATGCTGCAACAAAGATTTGAGGAGCGCATGAGACAGCATCTGGAGATGTCTCTGAGCTGCACTTACTTGCCACATTTCTGAGCTGTGAAACTCCAGAGCATTATTGGTTCTGGGAAAACGTTAACCCCTTGCTGCAGCAGAGGTCTTGTTTGAATGGGCTGTAGTAGGCTCCATCCTGAGAGTGCTTCTGCCCCACTTGTCTCTTGGGGTCCCACACTGGACAATAGCTTGTGATGGAGTGATACAAGAGATATCAAGCCGGGCTCTCCTGATGCTGAAAACCTGCTGAGGCTTGGCTGAACTTGCTCCATACCTTTTCCCTACTCCATCTTCTCATGTATTCCATGTCCCACACAGCTCACCCCCGGAGCTTTGGCCTGATTGCTGGAGCTGCAGCTGCAGGGGTCTTGGTGCTCATCATCTGCATCACCGTGGTGGCTGTGACACTCTTTTACTGGAAGAACAAACACAAGGAGGAAGAGGAGGAGGAAATTCCTAATGAGATAAGGTTTGGCCTTTGACAAGATATTGCTCTGTCCCTTCCTTTCCCCCGTCATCTTCATTTATTACAAAAAATTAAATACCACTTATTTAAAATATATATTGTAGTGGTTTACAAAAAAAGTACATATAGCTACACAATAAAAAAACATACAAAAAGAGTTAAAATAATAAATCAGCTAACTATTATGGAAATATATATTTTGAATTGCCTGCATAAGACTGATAGAATGGAAAAGTTTTTAGCAGGCGTTTAAAAGTTGGCACAGAAGGTGCCTGCAGAATCTCTGTTGGCAGAGTTTTCCACAACACTGGGCTGATGACACAAAAGGCTCAGTTTCCTGTTGTCAAATGAGCTTGCCAACTCAGGGAATGACCAATGGCTCTCCAGCAGATGGTTTCAGTGATCAAGCTGGGATATAAGGGTTGAGGTGCCTGAGGTACCCTGGACCTAAGTTGTTGAGGGCTTTGTAAATGAATAGGGATCAAAGCAGTAATACCAGAGTTTTTGCCATAGTTTCTTTCCAGCTGAGCTGCAAGGAAGGTTCCTCCTACCTCTGTCAGAATAATATTTTAGCATACACTAATTTCTTTCATGATTCTCTCATTACTAGTAGTGGCTTGACCACCCAGAGTCCTGGCACAGGCATAAAAGCCAGCTCCATCCATAATTTCTTCCTTAGGTGTTGGCAAGTGTTGACATGTGAACAAATACACAATTCCTGGTAATTGATCAGTAGTGGGAGTCAAAGGCAAGTGCTTATGGGGTTCCCCACTTACACCCCATTGATAAGGGGAAATGGAACCAAAAAGACTCCCAGAAGTGCAGGGCCAGCATTTCTCAATTCTATTGTCGCTTGTCATTCGTCATTGTACTCTGTTAGACCTCAAGCCCAACAGCCTGATGCTGAGATAGAGGCACAGAAAATTGGATTGTAAGACTTAAGGTGGAGATGTCAAAGTTGGGCACATCATTGGGCCAACATGGCATCATGGTGTGAGTTATTTGCTTTTCTCCTTGTGCTGTGCCAGTGCAAGGTATTTTTGTTCCTGCCAGGGATGGGTGTGTTTAGAATGGAGGACAACTACAATGCTAACAATGGCCTCTTGTTTTCCTAGGGAGGATGATCTGCCACCCAAATGCTCTTCATCCACAAAAGCATTCCATGGCGATGCTTCATCCTCGGAGAACGACACTCTCACATCATCCAACACCTACAACAGCCGGTACTGGAACGACCCCAAAGCAAACCATGCCACAGACTCCTTTGCTCGCCTCAACAACGATGCGCGCCAGCCCTTCACCCGCTCTGGAAGCACCAGCGCCCGCCCTGTCTATGCCAATGGAGGCCACCCAGCCCCCCCTCCACCCAAGACATTGGTGGTGACAACCAATACAGCCCCCTCCCCACAGGAGATGGCCAGAAGCAATGGCTCAGTGAGCCGCAAGCCAAGACCGCAGCACACACGCTCCTACGCCGTGAGCCAGGCAACGCTGGAAAGGATAGGTGCAGTGCCGGTCATGGTGCCGGCGCAGAGCCGAGCCGGTTCTTTGGTGTAGGAAGTGGGCATGGTTCTGAGGAAAACAAGAACCTGTTGCACCGATTGGGGGTGAAGACCTGGCCAAAACAAGAGACCCTCCTCTTCCTCCCTGAAATGCGTTGAAGGGGAACATCAAGCCTCTCCTCTGTGTCTTTCCCCCACCCCAGTCACTCCCACTGGTGTGTGATGGTCCCCTCCCCTTGCTTCCCACAACCCTTTTTATGATCTCAGGGGTCTCCTCAGCTGTGGCTGGATGTGCCAAGGCCAAAGGGAGGGGCACACAAGGCGTCACAGGGGGACGATGCCACACTTGGTTTACTAAGATCTACCTAATGAGGCCCCCTCAAGGATGGCGAGTGAGGTGGGGTTCAGAGGGCCCCTATAATGGGCCATTAGCAGGGAGGACTACTCAACAGCCTTATGGATGGCACATTGGCTGCTTGGCTCAAAACAGACGACGAAGCTGGGAGGGGGGGAGTGGAAAGATGCTGGTCAAGCCAAGCTGGTCTCAGAGGGACAGAGAGAGAGAGAATTACGAGACAAGGGAGGAGGGGCAGATTGGGAATTGGTTTGAGGGTTATATTTTATTCTTTAGTTTGTTCTTGCCACCCCCTCCTGCTTTCTCCTTTTCCCAGACTGGATGTTCTCTTCCCCATCCACCCGGCCCCAACCTTGCACTAGTTTTTTGGATGCTTCCAGCAACCCCTTGTCACCTCCATGGAAACTGTTGTGAGTCAGTCCGGCATTGTTCCCCAACAAGCTGCTTGGCGCCAGAATGTGCTGCTGCTGCTGCTGCTGTTTCGCTGTTGTTGAGAGGAGGGATTCATGGGGGGGAGGCAGTAATGGTGCTGGTTGGAATGCTGAAGCCTCCGTTGCATATCGAGGGCTGTGCTGTGTTTTCTGGGCGTGTGGCTGGCATTTTGCAAAGAGCTGGGCTTCAGCGCCTTTGGCGTTTGCATGGCAGGGTCCGTCTCCTCCCCACCCACCCCATAAGGGCTGTTTGGGTCTGGCTTGCATGGCCAGTTGAACATTCACACATTTGAGGCTTCACATTTAACCTTCCTTTTCTTGGATCTTTGGGGCTTATTATAGTAAAGGGAGCAGGGAAAAAGAGAGAGACAGACAGACAGACAGACAGAGTGTGGGAAAGCAGGGAGCAGCAGAAAGGAAGGCTCGTGGCAGCACTGTCCCCCCTTTCCCTCCTTGTGGCATGACTGACTCTTACGTGGCACCTCACCGTGGCAGGCTGGCATGAGGCCCTGTTGCTTCCTTGCCCCTGCCTGTCCACCCAACTTGACAGGTTTCACTCTTGCAATTTTCAGTAGCCTTAATTCAAACTGAGGATTTAGAAAAGAAAAAATAATAATAAGCAAACAAGGGTCTTTTCATGCCGTGGAGGAGACTTAGAGCTGGGGGGCCATTTCCTAATACCTCGAGGAGGCAGAGCCAAGGGACATGTCACTTGAGTCCCGCTGTCCACACCTGCCTCATTTGTATTGCTGACACACTGATCTCCTTAACGGGAAAATGCTCCCCTTGGAAGCTCTTCTTACCAGGCTTTCCTTCTCTGCACTGACAAACGAGAGAGAGAAGGAGAGAGAGACATCTTTCTGATCTCACCCCAGCACTATGAAAGGGGGTGGCTTGTTTCACAGGCTCCCTCCCACCTTCCAACATGCACTGGAAATGGGGTTTGCTAGAGGTCGGTCTCTTGCTACTCTTCTGCTTACACTCGGCTCACCCAGACTTCATACTTTCCTTCCAAATGGGCACAGAGGCATCCTCTAGGAGAGCTCCCTGCCCAGGCCATATTTCCTTCTCTACCCACACACTATCCTTGCAGAGAGAGTCCTTCAGGTTGCACTGGGTTTGAAGCTTAGCTGAGATTCTGTGCCTTCTTTGCTTTAAAAAAGAAAAAAACAAACAAACCATGCTCTCCTCCTCCTCCTCTCCTCTAAGCCCCTCTCCCCCATAACACATACGCAACTTGCTTCATTGACTTCCGAGCACACCAGGCAGACAGATGGGCTGCTGAATTTATACACATTTCCCAGGGAGCAGTCTCTCTCCTCATGTGCTCACTGCCGGTTTCTCCTTTCCAGACTTGGAGGTTGGGGGTTTTGGGGGGAGGGGAGGGGTGGAAGAGTGGCTTTAAAAAAAAAACAGCAATGCAAAAATAGAGGGCGGGGGTAAAATAACGCAGAGACACACATTCTCTCTGCTTTTATAACAACAAAAAATGTAGGACGTTTTCAAGGAATGCTGCCCATGGCAGCTCACACTCCAGTGCTCGGAAAGCCCTTCCTGGTTCTACCTTTCATGAGACTGTTCGCTCTCCTCTTTCTTTGTTCTTTCTAATTGTCTAAAAAAAGGGGGGGATCAATAAAACTTTTATTCGTATAAAAGGGGAAACGGTTGTCTGTGCATTTTGTTATTATTTCCCATGCTTCAGCACTAGGGATGGAAGATAATTTTGTTGTGTCTAGGCTAATATACAGATTGGAAATGTGGTCAACCTCTGGGTTTTGCACTTTTCCCAAATTTTGCAATGCAGTCCTCAGTTCCTAGAACATACCAAACTGCATTTTAAAAATGTGTATTCTGGGATGAAGTTTCTTCAGAAATTCATCCGTTGAGATCAGGGCTTTGCTGTTGCCAGCAGCAAAGGTTGACTCCACGGAGTTGCTGGACAAACAGCCTGGTTTGCTGAAGGCAGCTTCTTGTTTTCCTATTCTTCAAATGAGAGCCTTCTGGAGGAATCTCAATGAATCGTCAGGGTGAGCCTTGGAGAGCCAGGCATCCATTGCCCATCATCATTCTCACAATGGGCAGAGCACCCTAGTTAGTAGAGGGCAGCACGAAAGAATCCCAGGGTTGTACACCTGGCCCCATCCAAGTTAAGAGAGTCTGTTAAGGGTGCTTTGACCAGGAGCTGGTAAACATCCTCAGGATTGTTTAGGATCAGGCTGGTCCTCTGTACTTCAACTGTTTTCTTTATTTACATACTTCAAAGATGTATAAGAATGAGAATAGCCCTGCTGGACCAGGCAGTGGGCCATCTACTCCAGCATCCTGTTAACACAGTGGCCAACCAGATGCCTGTGGCCAACCAGATGCCTTCCTGTACTTGCCAGCAACACATACTGTATACCTTGCCTCTGCAACAAATGGTCATCAAGATTGCTTGGAAGAGATCAAACCAATGCATGGAATGCAGGCAATGAAGACAACTAAAAGCAGCAGCAGAACAGTGGCAAATGGCACAATTACTCTCTGCTAAAAACAAAACCACTTCTGCTTAGTTCCTAAAAGCTAGTAAAGCTAGGCAAATACGTCTTGAGATGAAGAGCAATTATTGAATTCTAATGAACAGTTGATCTATATCATACATCATCAGACCATTGTTTGGGAGAATGCTGGATTATGGTATCCAGACTGTTACGATGCCAAAATGTAGTTCTTGATTCTCTCCTCTACCCCAAGCTGAACCTCCAAGCTTCAGAAGAATGAGCATTTGTTATTATGTCTTGCATATAGTATTTTGCAAAGCACCTGTGAGTTTTGGTCACTCCTTGGCAAGACATCTCCACTCTGCCAATCATACATATATTTGTTTTCTGAATATGCAGGGAGATGTTGCTGTTGATGAACTAATAATACTCTGCAGAACAAGCCCTATGTGCCACTCAGCACATCCAAATATGGTGGTGATGTTAATGTTTCTTACTTGCTCTTTTATTAAAGTGTTCCCAGTGACGCACAACATAGGACAATAACATTGCAATCAAAACAATGCAAAATCAAGCAATCAATACAGCCTGCGCCAGATTAAAAACTTCTTAGGAAATCTGGTTCAGTTCCAAGTCCCTGCACACCCATAGCAGATGCTGACACAGACATGATAGGAGAGTATATAGACCAAATATTTTATGAAAGTGGCAATTTAGCTTTTGCGAGCTTTCCTTCAAAATTTCCACGGATCATGTGCTTCTTAAGGGTCCCAACTGGTCCTTTACAGCTGCATTGTTACCAGTCCTGCATCTGACACCACACAGGATGTCAGGCGTAAGTTAGTTGGGTGTGGCTTAGGGAAAACAGTGTTGTGGGCTAAATTAGGTCCCTTGATTTGGCCTGTGGGCCAGAGACTCACACTGCTGATCTAATTCCTTAACAAGTCCTGTTTTCTCACACAAATTAATGGAAAGGGAATAACTCCCAGGAATCAATGTCAATAGGCTGCCATCCCCCAGACAGGGAACTTAGCATTCCTTGTTACAGTGGTGCCCTGCAAGATGTATGCCTCGCAAGACAAAAAACTCACTAGACGAAAGGGGTTTGCGTTTTTTGAGTCGTTCCGCAAGACGAATTTCCCTATGGGCTTGCTTCGCAAGACGAAACGTCTTGCGAGTTTGTTTCCTTTTTCTTAAAGCCGCTAAGCCGTTAATAGCCGCTAAGCCGCTAATAGCCGTGCTTCGCAAGACGAAAAAACCGCAAGACGAAGAGACTCGCGGAACGGATCAATTTTGTCTTGCGAGGCACCACTGTACTGTCCTGCAGATCCTTTGGTACCCAGTGAGGCAGTTCCATCCTTCTGGGCCCTAATTATATGCATACAGATGCCTTTAACCATTAATGTCCAGAATGGGGTGGGGGTGAGGAAGAGGGAGAAGGAAAACCAAACTTTCCTTTAAGCAGTATCTGTATGGGACAGGGTTGTGGAACGTGTGGTGCTTCAAATGTTGATTTGCTTTATACAAGGGGAAGGAGAGAGAGATATTCTTAGGGATTCAGTGCTCAAAAACATGTGCCAGATTGGGGAACGTCAAGCCTCAGCCCTCTCAGTCTGGCCCTTAAGATTCTCCCTAATAGAGCTCATCCAGGGGTGCCAACTTGAATAAAATAGGGGACAGGTAAGCCCCAGCCTGCATCATTGATCACAAGACATGGCGCACCCACACCATTTGAACAGCAATGCCCATCAACCCTGGGAGGCCGACCCCCTCAAATATGCTGTGAATGGAATCACTAAAGAGCCCTGAAAAATCAGCTACCTTGAATTATTTTATCACGGAATACTGTCATAAGGATAGAAGTTTATGCTGAGTGGGGAATTTTCTAGTATCTTGGATATTTATTTATCTGTGAAGCCTGGCTCTGTGTCCTGTGTCTTGGTTAGCTGCATCCAATCTAAAATATGAGGTTATGTCTACATGAAAACTCAAGCTTGTACTGAATATCTAAATAATCACATGCATACACCACTCAAGCCAGCTCCAATTCAGAGGAAGGGTGGGAGAGAATGTGTTGGCCAGGTTTTAATCTGTCTTTGGGCTGGGCTGGGCTGGGAGTGGGGGTGGAATACAAATAGCATCAAGGAGAGATTAGATGAGGTTTGTTCTGAGGGCTTGTAGAGGATTCTTCTAGTGCTCAACGCTGTTAGGGTCATCTTGTGGATTTGGACTTAGCAAATCATGCTTACGAAGGGGGGAAAGTGGTGTTTACATACAGCTTCCTGCAACTAGCTGCATTGTGGAAGAGCTTAAAAAAATGCAGTTTGCTGAAATCCCGTTTGGCAAAGATGAGGGCAGAATTACAAGCTCTTCATTGTATTTCAGTACAGTGGTACCTCATGTTACATACACTGCAGGTTACATACACTTCAGGTTACAGACTCTGCTAACCCAGAAATAGTGCTTCAGGTTAAGAACTTTGCTTCAAGATGAGAACAGAAATCGTGCTCCGGCAGCAGGAGGCCCCCTTAGCTAAAGTGGTGCTTCAGGTTAAGAACAGTTTCAGGTTAAGCACGGACCTCCGGAACGAATTAAGTACTTAACCCGAGGTACCACTGTAATAGTTGGACAAGGGGTATAACATTTAGAATGAGACACTTCCTTACCCCAATAGCTATATAAAGAAATGTTATAAATCATGTGACTGGGGAAGAAAAAAGATTTCAAGATCACATGATGCAGTTTTCAGCATTGGGAAGCAGGCAGGCTTGGATTGGTTTGAATATAGTTTACACCTGTTTGGGTTTCCAAGTCATGTCCTCTTCTTGACTTTCCTACTGGGTGGCATGAGAATGGCTTAACATCCCCCCCCCCCCCGCCCCCAAAGCCAGCCAAGTCTACCAGCACCCCAGGTCACATTTGCCAGTGACTCTATTTTGTTCTTCTCCAATCTGCTGCTTAACTTATTTGCTTGAGTCATATGAAGTTAATTGCTATTTGGGCACCTTTGTTGCAAATCTGATGGGATTCATTCCATTTTCTATTTTAGTTTCCCAGTCCTAAACAAAACATTGTCACAGGAAAGCCATTGCTTATATGGAACGTTGTCAACTTACGTGTCTGTTTTCATAGTCCATTCATTGCTTTCTCAATTGTTCAATATAATACTGGCTCTGCATCTTTCTTCACTCATGCAATGTAGTCTTGAAGCAGAATTAACACATAGCAATCCCAGTTCACTGGGACTTTGCTTGCTGTTCTGCGCCATGGAACTGGTAGTATTGAAGCTGCACAGCCACCAGATATTGTACAATATGCTGCATGTCTATTTTGCCTTGGCAAAAATAGTACTAGGACAGAATTTGGCGAGTTTACAGAAAATATATCATAAGAATTCAAACTTCTCGACTATAGATATCGTGTGTGTGTAGCAACATTGTGTGGGTGGCAGAATCATTGAAAACAACAGCTTTCTGTATGGGTAACATAATTTTATAAGCAGGATTCAAATGTATTGGAATAAAACTATTCAACACAAATTCTATTTCTTATTTGTGCCGGAGTGAGGCAGAGTGAATTAGCTGCCTCAAAGAGCAAAGCTGCAGGAAAGAAACTTGACAGATCTTTGTGTGCCACATAACCTGCACTTGAACTAGCCTCCTCAGATGCTCTGAAGGACACTATCCCATTACCAGGGTTTGAAATAAAGTTTGCTTCCAGATGGGACACGGGTGGCGCTGTGGTCTAAACCACTAAGCCTAGGCCTTGCTGATCAGAAGGTCGGCGGTTCGAATCCCTGCGACGGGGTGAGCTCCCGTTGTTCGGTCCCAGCTCCTGCCCACCTAGCAGTTCGAAAGCATGTCAAAGTGCAAGTAGATAAATAGGTACCACTCCAGTAGAAAGGTAAACGGCATTTCTGGGCGCTGCCCTGGTTTCACCAGAAGCAGCTTAGTCATGCTGGCCACATGACCCGGAAGCTGTCTGCGGACAAACACCGGCTCCCTCGGCCTATAGAGCGAGATGAGCCCCAGAGTCGTCCACGACTGGACCTAACAGTCAGGGGTAACTTTACCTTTACCTTTGCTTCCAAACAATCTGATTTGTTTGCATACAGTTTGTTGGGACATCCACTATGAAGCATTGGTCCTGATTTGTTTGCTGGGACATTGTTCCTAGCAATTGTTCTCCCACACTTTCCTGTCACTTCAGTTACCACAAAATATCCAGTGGTTTTTGGAAGCGGTTTATTGCACAGGTGGTCCAAACCCACTTTAATTTCCTG